TCTGACCTGGGGCCCTGATTTCCACAGCTGGTCCAGAGAGGGAGAGCAGGTGGTGAAGCCTTTGCCTCTGGGAGAGCCGTGCCAGCTGTGGGCCAGATGGCGGCCAGACCTGTGGACACTGCCTGCCATGTCCCTTCCTGTGGGCTCTGTCCGACCACAGGTCATTGTTGGGTGGGGGTGTGCAGTAACCTTGGTGGGTCCGTGATGTCCTCAACTGTCCGTGCTGCATTTGAATCAGGCTCAGGCCAGGAACCCTGGGAGAGATCCCTGGCCTCGCTTGGCCTCACCCCCACATCCCAACTGTCGTATCTCCTGTTGGCTCCACCTGCAAAGTACATCCTAGCTGGGATCACCTCCCATTCCTCCATGGCCACCACCCTGGGATGAGCACCATCTTTTGGCCAGGAAATCTTGCCTCCTAAGTAATGTCCCTAATTCAAGATATCGCTCCAACTGTCGGTGTTGGTTACATTCCCTCTTCTCACAAGCCCCCTCTCTTTCCTCATTTCACACAGAAGAAATGTCTCCACAGTGATCCACAAGGGCTTCCATGACCTAGAGCACCCCTCATTGCTGCCAATCCCATCTTCTCTTCCCCTCTCCTTTTCCCTCATTTTCCCCCACCAGGCAACACTCTAGACATGATCCTACCTCAGAGCCTTTTCATTGGCTGTCCTGTGCCATGTAATCTTGAAGAAGTACTTAGTACATCCACAGACCATGCATCTGCAGTGTGCTACACGTGAGTGCACAGCCAGGGACCCAGGGAATCTCTTCTTGCTTATCTTCAACTGTGTGTCTGACACGTGGGTCAAATCTGAGTGTTTATGAAGTGTGCGTGCATATGGATACCATTGACTGCAGCTGTTTGTGTGTTGGGCTTGTGAGCTGTAGGTCTCTGCTGAGAAGGGTTTGATGCCTGCGTGTAGCTCATCTGGAACAAAGGCTCAAGTAGCAGGCAGACCACAGGCGGGTGAGGGGGTATGTGCAGAGCTAGCTGGAATGTGAGCTGTTTAGGCACTCACACACTCAATATTTATTGAGGGTATATTGTGTGCTGGAGGGGTCACAGGGCCCTTCAGCACCTGGTATCTATCAACTTGCAGTGTCAACTTCTGAGTGTTTTACACAAATGATTGAGTACCTGCTGTGTACCTGACCCTCTCCTGGAGGGATGGATCGGTTGAGTCTGGTTCTACCTGAAGGAGCCCACCCAGGTAGGCCCCTTCCTTCCTCCTCTGGGGTCTCCAGCCCATGTCTGCCTCCTTTCCCTGCGCTGACTGTAGGAAGCCTCTGAACCCCACTGGGACCCCTGGACCCTGCCTGAAGCTACACCAGGGAAGATTTTCGAAAACTCAGAAGTTGATAGAATAAATGGGTTCAAGGCTGGAGAGAAAATCCTGGAATGAAGGATGAAGTTGCTAGGCTTTCAGTGGGTTGGAGGAATGATGAGTGACCTCAAAGGCTCTGGAAACTTTACAGAGAGCTTATTGACCCTGGGCTCCATGGGGTCCAGAGGGAAGGAGAGGAAAAGAAGGCAAAAAGAAAGAAAAACAAAGAGAAAAGGGAAGGAAACAGATGTAGGACTTTGAACTCTGGCTGAAGACTGCAGTGTTAGGGGCTCTGGAGCTGGGGTAGCCCAAGGAGTTGGGTCTGGTTTAATTGACTTTGGGGGTGTAAGTGTGGGTTTGAAGGGTCTGTGGGCAAGGATTTGGGGGAGGAGAGTTGGGATTTGAATAGAGGATGGGGGAGATAACTTGAGGGCAGGGGTTTCCAGGTATGGTAACCAGAATTGAGGGTTCAGCAGGAGGTTTGGGGATCTGAGCGCAGACGATTGGAATCTGAGGGTGGAGGTTCTTGAGTGTGAGGAAGGAGGTCCTGGGAAGAAAGGGGAAAATTGGGACTCAAAGATGGCTTGGAAGTCTGAGGCCTGGGTGCTAGGTGAGTTCCTGAGTCTGAGGGAGGTCTTGGCGAGGGAGTGACCCTGGAAGGAAGGAGGGGTGATTCTCAGAGCTCTTGGACCAATTTCCCCGTGCTCCTCCTCTCAGTCAAGCCCCTCCCCCTTTCCAGAGCAGACCCGGCTCCATCTGGCCTGCCCCTACTCCTAGCTCCCTAACCCGTCCCACTCCACCCACTTCTCCCGCGTCCCACCTTCGCCTCGTTACTCCCCACAGGCCACGCCCCCACCACGCACAGTTCGCAGTTGCCCCGCCCCTCGAGAAGGTCCCGCCCATTACCCACGCCACGCCCCTCCGTAGACCATGCTCCCCGCCCCTAGTCCCTGTTGGGCCAAACTCCCGTCCCTCCTCAAATCCACGCCCGCGCTTCGTCCCAGACTCTGCTCCTCTCCCCCTAGCTGAACTGGCTCCTGCCTTTGCCTGCCTCCGCTCATCCGTAGACCCCGCCCCCTCCCCGGCCAGGACGCGCACCCTCCTTGGACCTGGCCCCGCCCCTCGCCTAGGGCCCTGCCCCTTCGCAGAGCAGGCCCCGCCCTACCTCCCGCGTCTTAGTCTCCCGGGCCGGCGCGCGCGGTTCCCGTCACTAGCACGCGCGGTGGCAGCGGCGGGAGATGGCGGAGTCCGGCGGCGGCGGCGGTGCTGGTGGCGGCG